TACTCATGTCTAGATGATGAATACTCAACTCAAGTAGGATAAGCTATAACAAGACAAGTGTAGTCCATCTTCGTGACCAAAATTGAGTAGAAATCCATCAGATATGGCAATCCGATATTTAGTATATGTCCCTGGACATATCCCCAATTTCCGCTACCCAACATAAATTTTATCTGTCCGATATGAACCCGACATCCGACATTTAAAACCTTGCTATTTTTAGCATATTTTAAACAGATAACGGAGGTTGAGTTAAAGCAAAGATATATATTTGATACACATGCCCCTTATTGATGTAAAACTAACATCATCTTTTTCCATTAACAACCTACATATGAGAACCAATAAAACCCCTACTCCTACTTGATGCTAAGCTATCATCATCTTTTACCATTAACAGCCTATTTATGATATTACAAGCATAAGAAGAAAGGTTACAAAAAGAACATGCTAGTAAATACCAAACTCAAAGTAAATTAAACTACAAGTAAGACCTAATCTACATATTACAACTTACAGCTCTTTCTGGGGCTCTTGCATGAGCATCTAGAACCTTGATACGAGCTTTTGATTCTTCACATGTTTTCTTAATAAATTCACCTTTTCGGCCAATGATACCACCAACTTTGTGGCTTGGAACTAATAGTCGGAAAACATTGTTTCCTGGCCAACCGGGCCATTTCTTCTCACTGCTCTTAACTCCCACTTCCTCATTCTTCCCTTGTTGTTGGTTCTCTAGGTTTTCGGAAGCTCCAACCATGCTATTGTTACCTTCCTCTATGGTGTTTTCAGTTCCATCTGTGCAATTTTCTGTTCCACCTATGACATCTTCAGAAGCAACTGTGGTATCTTCAACTGCACACATGTCAGCTTCAGCTCCAGCCATGTCATTTTCAACTCCAGCCATGTCATTTTCAACTCCAGCCATGTCAGTCTCCGTAAAGTTTTCCATGGTTGATGTCAATACTGTGCAAAACAAGATGAAGTTTCACTATCAGATAGTGTACACAACACACACACACACACAAAAAGGAAGTTGCTAATAGGAGTTTTAACTGATTCAAAATTAACAGAGAAGATGCTAAAAATGATCAGAAATTAATTAAGTTAAAAAAATAAAAAGATTCCTAACACAACTTGTCCAGAACATATCCTAAATCACTTATCCATTGGGCGCATTTCTAGAAACTGCAGATCCAACAGATCAATTAAAGGAAACTTAGTACAACAGCACAAAGTCTTAAAAGGAGGTAATATGGGAACATCAGAAAAGGCTTCATGTTAAGTTACATTTAGCAACCTGACATGAGTTGATTTCTTTAAAGCTAGGATACCAGGTTTCATTCCAAGGAAAAAAAATGGTTCATTAATTTTCATCATACAAACATATATTTTCATTTTGCAGTTTCTGCTTCCTAAAATATATGAAGAAAATGCACAGAAAGTATTTTACAAATTTTTGAAAAAAAAGGTTCACATCGAAAGAAAAATCCTCATCTGGTACTAACCCGCAGAAAACACTGAAAAGGAGGTCCCAGGTCACATGGGAACAGGAAAAGTCTTTGATGTAAAATTATTTTCAGCAACATGACATAAGTTGATTTATTTTTCTTAACTAGAATACTAGGTTTCATTCCAATAATAAAATTTGAATTTGTAATCTGTAAATGCTGCAAAAATTAAAGAAAGGGAAAAAATCCAAGAAAATTACTTCAAAGAACTGCATATTGTACCAGTCAAATCACCACTGTCAATTATTTGAAGATAAAAGAGGGTTCATGCAAAAGGTACAAACACTATAAACCACATCAACTCTTGCTAGCATAACCAAATTAATCATGATTCACTAACTTCACTTAAGGATTTTTTTTTTGGCATTTTACAACTAGATCATAATACATATATCTATTTCTTTTTTGCAGTTTCTGCTTCCTAAAATATGAAACCACAGAACTTGTTTTACAAAAAAATTGGACAAAACTGTTAATAGAGAAAGGAAATTCCTTTACTATTAATAACCAGCAGAAAACAGAGCTTGTAATGGAAAAAAATGTGAAGAGCACAAAATAGAAATTATATGCTCAAAACAACAAATCATAATGAAACAAACAAAAATCTATCATACTCCCCAAAACCACTGCTCAAAGTCTTACACTTACCCGATCTATACATAATCATTTTCAGAGATTCTTATCTAAACAAAGACAACAGCAGTAGAACTGCTCAAACAGTTACAACCCCAATCAAGTCATGGGGAAAATTTTTCCTTTAACTTACAAAAATTGTGAAAAGGGTCCGCTTCACTACAGTTTCCACTGCCAAAAAATAACCCCTTGTCTGCCAACTTTATAGAGCACAGAACTTAAAAGCCCTAAAAATCAAGAGAAAAAACAAAAGAACATACCTGAGTAATAAAAGACTGTAGGTAACATAAACCCTAAACACCGGAAATTATGCTATAGAGCACGTGCATTTCCCCAGAAACCCTAAACATCCAGCACTAGAGCCCCAGAGCACTCAACAAACACTATCTCAATACTATTTAGCAAAAATGGATAACTTTTAATGGTTTTTCATGCAATTTTCTCAATAGAGAGAGAGAGAGGGCATTGAGCTATGCATCTTCCTTTTTCCTTATCTAAACGAAGATAAGGGAACTAAATCTACTCAAAACCAGCTACAAATCCCAAGCAAACAATGGAAATGTTCCTTTTTAATTGTTTTACAAAAATTCTGCATAAGTCACTTCAGAACAGTTTCTTTAAAAAAAACTTCAAAAGGAAATGAAAATCAAATCCCTCGCATATGAATTTTAATGAGCGCATGGCCCAAAATGGAAATAGCTACGATTAGAAAAACCAAAGTCAACAACAACAAAAGAATATATCAAAGTAACAAAAATCTACTCCTAATATCCTACACAGACCACTCATAACAAGCGATAAGTAGCACCACGGCAGGAACCCTAAACCATAGAAATCAATAAAACACGTGTATTTCCTGAACACTCAGCAAAAGCTCCAGTTCACTGCATTATCTACGGCAAATAAGGAGAGAAAAAAAAATCCGAACGAAAAATAATCCTCATCCATCAATTACACAGAGCTCGTCGATTCGAGATGGAGATAGATGTAATGAAGAAACAAGAATCCCTAGAGATCGACAAGAGCAACAAAAGAAGAAGCCTAAGTAAAGGAAAACTACACTCCCCCTGATTGAAACCCTAACGCCAGAAACCCTAAACACTAGAAATCAAACTATAGATCAAAGAACCCTAAATCTCAAGCAAATGAACAAACGATTTAGGGTTATACCTGCGATTTTGCCGATCGAGCGCGCGCGAGGAGAGAGAGAGAGACTCGAGAGAGGGAGAGATTTGGGGTTTAAAGCGGGGGGAGGGAGATTTTTAGGGGTTGGAATTCGGATGACGTATTTGTTCTCCCCCTTTGGGTTTGCGGAATGACCAAAATGCCCTGTACGTTTGAGGGTGTCTAGACCTATGTTCTAGTTTTGTTGGGGGTAGAATGGTCAATACAGGTCAGGGTTCGGGGAGCACGGCGATGTGAGCTCGAGGCTGCGTGGTTCTTTATTAATTTGTTCCCTCTCGTGACGCGTGATTTGCACGTGTAGCCTTTATTGGCTCGAAATGGACATTACTACTCATTTTTGGGTACCCAACGACCAATGCGGAGCAACTCCAACCTAAGGGGGTGTTTGGTTCAATTTCTAGAAATTATAGGAAATGTTTTTCATCTAAAATATGATTTCCTTGTATTTCTTAAAAAAATTATAAAAAAAGTTTTGAGAAATCAAAAAGTACCAATTTTTTTGTTTTTTGTACTTTGTTTGTTTGGTTCAAAACAAAAAAAATAGCTTATAACTTTATAGAAAATAACAAGATTTGGTAGGTTTTTAATTAAATATGGTATGTGTCAGATTTCTGTTGATTTCCTCTCATTTTGAGAGGAAATTGCTTTTTGTAAAATTTGGTAGGTTTTGATATTTTATAGAAAATATTTCTGTAAATTTTTTATTGAACCAAACACAATTTACAGAAATCTCTGAAAAACTTTTAATTACAAATTTTTCATTGTCAGATGTTTTGAGAAAAGTTTTGTCAAAAAATATGCAACCAAACAGCCCCTAAGGTTTCAGAGTCGCTAAAAAAAATTCAATTTTTTGCTCACAAAAATATCGCACTGGGATTTTTTTAAGACTAGTTTTTATGCAAGTGCATTGCACGTGGTTAAATATCATAATTATTCATTTTTAGTTTATTTTCTTACTATAAAATTTATTCTTCGATTTCGATTTTTTCTCACTTATGTCTCTAAAATTTAATATTGTGATTATTTATCTTCTTTAATATTTGTTTGAGTGAGCTACATGAAAAAACTAATATTTGTTTGAATGAGCTACACAAAAACAACGTGAGGCCAATTTGAGTATTCATGTTATTTAAATCGACATGAAAGGATGCTTCACCTAAGGAAGTATAATGTTGCAAAAGTAGAAAATATTTGAAAAATAACATTATAATAGCAAGAGAAATAATTAAAGCCAATGAGCCTAGACAATTAATTAGAAGTGGCTACATGGCACAAAAGAGAATATGGATTTCATTCATAATCATTGATAGACTTCATTGAAAACCATAAACTAAATATTAATGCTAACTCTAATATGATTTTATATGATATAAAAGCATCCACAGAATAAGTATATAAATATATATTTATTTTGGCATTGATAAATTCTAGGAAGGTCGAGATTTAGATCGTCAACGTTTTGGCATTATTGTTCTAACTATCTAGATTACAATTAGACTACCAATTCTGCAATTGGCAAATAACTAAAATGTTTTTAAGAAAAAAAACAAGGTTGCTCTTTCATTTATTTGACACTACAATATTCTTTCCTAATATAGAATTTGAATACATAGAACATATCATTATGTAATACTTCCCGATATATGTAAACGGAAAAAGGAGCAGCAAAATCACCGACAATACTCGAAGAACAAACCGAACATAATAGAATCTTCACAGAAAACTTCCATAAGTAATAGCAACAAATAAGCACTAAAACATATCTAAAAAGATCATTTTTCTCCATAATTTACTTTAGATATTTTTAACAGTTTCTGCGGTTGTGCTTAGCACAAATAAAACCATAGTACTGAAGAATCAACAAATCCCTGAATTCATATAAAAATAGTGGTCCATTAAAAGTTTTCTATAGCAGACTTCATGCCTCTTATCAATTTTCTTATTGAGTCGAGACTTTTCAGTACGAAGAAGGACATGGAACAACTTCATTTAGGATTGGAGTGCAAGTATCATGCTCAAAGTCATGACTCATGACTACATAATCTGCTTGAATAGTTCCCGTAATTACGGTACTCGAACAGAATCTTGTCATCAGTGATACTGATAACATTGGGTAGGTGAACCTAAGCAGTTCTCTCGATAATTTTCGGTACAGATGCTCAACATCTCAATTCTTGTTATCCTTGAGCAAACATATCTTCACCTGAGGTTTTTTATATGTAACAAGTGCAACGCAAGCATGCCCTCTTAGCTCATGTATAGTTATACAACAATCTCTCCTAAGTGGATGTATGAGCGATCGATGTAACTCCAAACTTCTCATGTTTGATATCGAACCTAAGGACAGCCATGCAGTAGCCTTCATTTTCTTCTAGGTAATTTGAATATCATGATTATTTAAATTGATAAAAATAGAGTTAAAATAAAAAAGAAAATAAACTTTTTTGTGGGATTGATCATCAACTCAATAATTTCTCTCTCAAATAAAATATTGTTATTGTTTTTTTAACCCAGACTGTGGCCACGTGATCTATTATTTTTGAGTTATAAACACATTAATCTAGTATAACATCTCTATTTATTAGTATCTTGAAGTCTTTAAAAAATGGGTGATCATTCAATTCGCAAAGGAATTTTGCATATGAATTTACTTGCGATATGTCCATTAAATTTTTAGTTAACTTTACATTGAGTTTGCTACTTGTAATACTATTGGCAATGCCATTATCTTTCCTCTTTAAAGATTTCACTGGAATATGTCGAACGTTATTGTTAAGACTCATCGATAACAATATGTGGAATTTTGTGTCTTTTAAGACTCATTGATAACAATATAATTTAAATAAAGCAGATGAAAGCTTTCCTAAATATATTAAAAAATGAACTATATAAGCAGGGGTAGGAGAACTTGATAGAAAAAAGGACTTGAAAAAGGCAAGTGAAAAATAAATGAATTTAAAATGAGGAAATGAGGTTGAATGTGGATATGATTGTATCATATGTATTTGTACTTAAGGAGATATTTCATATACATTGTTACTAACACAATAAGTGGCTTAAGTCGATGTTTCCATGCTCAAAACGTTTTATAGGATCACATAAGCAAAAGAATATGATAATAAGATCTAAAACACCTTGTGAACTGTCTTTGTCCGTCACACATCATATTAAATCCTATCATGCATATTTTGGCATTTAGGGGATCGATGAACAAAGACATACAGTTTTTAAGAAAAAACTTAGCTTTATGAGATATTAAAGAGAAGGAACATACCGAGAATGAAATCCTATCATAACAGAGATGCTACTACGAAAATCTCTACCATTAAAGAGAAGGAACATACCGAGAATGAAATCCTATCATAACAGAGATGCTACTACGAAAATCTCTACCTCTTCCTAAATATAAAGATTAACAGAGATGCTACTACGAAAATCTCTACCTCTTCCTAAATATAAAGATCATCGGGACTCGAGAGTCTCTATTACGCTTTCAAAATATGTTGAGTTCAGGATATCTATGTCATTGACATACTAATGTGTGTAGTTTGAACTATAAGTCATAAATTGCAACATCAAAATTGAATAATCCTAATACTAATCAAATAAATAAAATAATATTTTGATGATTCATTTTCAAATATGGACTTGGTAATTTAGTGATTTTAATGTGTTATGACAAATCCCTTGATAAGCAAATATCAATCACACAAAAAACAAAGAAAATATAAACAAGATAATACACACAGGTAGTTCATGGTTCAAATCACTAATTTCAAATCACACTACAAGAAATCTAATATAATCTCTCTCAAGTAGGTAGTTCATGGTTCAAATCACTAATTTCAAATCACACTACAAGAAATCTAATATAATCTCTCTCAAGTGAAGAGGAAGCAAAGAGCCAATACAAATATCAGCAGCCAAATAATTTAATTATCTTGTGGTTTAGAATATAGAGAGGAGTGATCTCTGTTCCAAATTACTACAGTTGTCTCAAATTTCTATCCTAGCCCATGATATATATATAGCTACACATTTTTGTTTTTCAGACTTTGCATAAAGTAATAATTTTAATTCTATAACAAATTGGATTATAATCAAATAAGCTAGGCAAAGAAACTTACTAAGATCATTTGAATTTCTTTATCAACATTAGCTAACAGGCAATAGGAACGAAACCACAAATTTTATTAATAAAGATATAATTATTAATATGATATTTAAAATTTGTATTGGATAATTAGGATATATTATGATTAAAATATAATGTTCAAAAGAGTTAAGGGTAATATTGACCATGGAAAGTTTTTCCGAACTCATAATTTTTAAAGAGGGCATGATAGTGAAACAATCATAATAATCTCTAAATAGAATGGAGAAATGACATAACATAAGCGATATTAGTCTAACTCTACTATTTACTTTAATGTTCTTAGTACCCAAGTTATTTTCTTTTGGTTAGATAAATATGTAGATGACACATTCTTGTCATTCTTAATTACTATAGTTAAAGATTTTTGTTATAGGCAAAAAGTTCTTATGGATAAATATGCATAACTTTGTAGCGCATTCTGCCATAGTTGTTATAGAAGAGACAACGTTCAACAACCTAAAACCCTCATCTATAAGTATCTCAGAGAAGTGATGGTGATACTAAAGTCTAAGGCGAGCGAGAATGTGCAATTGAAGAGTAGGTAGTCATATTATCATCCTGCGGGTAAAGAAAACCATAATAAAATTTAATTTCTTGTATGTGTTAAGATTAAAAAAGAAAGGCTTATTTTTATATATACCTCTTAAACCATGCATATTTGCAAAAATACCCCCAAATCTTAGTATTAACAAAATTGTCCCTAATCATCAATTGTAGAAGAAAAACATATCTCTACCCCTCTCCACAAACCAATTCATATTAAATCCTAGCTAGTCTTTCATTTCAGCTCTAAAATCCTGAATTCACTAATCTCCACATCAATGAAAATTTTGCTTTTTTAGTGGGCTTCAAAGGTAAAGGTCTGACAAACATCAAAATTGGTAATCTTTTCATTTACATTTCATAAAGACAACAAACACCAAGCATTGTGTCATTACTACACCTTATTACTTAATTTCATTTACATTTCATAAAGACAACAAACACCAAGCATTGTGTCATTACTACACCTTATTACTTAATGATAACCTAAAACATTACAAATATTCATAGTTGTGTCATTACTACACCTTATTACTTAATGATAACCTAAAACATTACAAATATTCATAGCAAATTATTGCCAATCTTTAATTTTAGTCTTACAGCTCCAGATTCACTAATTTTTACATTAGACAAAATATTATTGTTTTAGGACAAAGTTCCACAATTCCATGGAATAAGTCGATGAAATAGGCTAGAATCAAATATGGTAAACTGTTCAATCAAAAATTATGATTCAATAAATAAGTAAAACTTATAGTTCAAAATAATATACCAGCAAATACCATATTGCTAAGTACAAAACAACATACTACCACCAAAAAAAGTTAATTATGATTTATAATAGAACTTACAGGATGTTGCATCTCTGGTCCATCAAATTTAGGGTAATCCTCATACTCGCTCACTGGATCATAACCTAAAAACCCGTCCAAATTTCACAAGCAGCATATACTAAACATTATAACTAACACAATCAAAAATTATGTGAGTTAAATATTGTTGGCTAAAGATGACATCTAATAATTGCAGCAAATAATTTGTAATATGATCACAAAAACTACAGGATACAATAAAGAAGAGACATCATATTTTACCTCCATAAGTAAAAAGCGATGCATAACACAGAAGGGTGTTGCTGACCGGTCCATTGGCGGGATAGCTTCATTTTTCTTATTCTCACCATTCAATAGAGCATGCTAAATCAACTAAAAGACAAAACATCAATTAATACCTCAATTTGACTTGTGTACTTTTATTATTTAGGAAAGAATATAAACTAAGAAACAAATAAATTTATAAGAAACCATATTAATCTTAACCACATATTTAACTAATTCGGGTCTCGGAAGCATCATGGGTCCTGGTCTTGGGCACCAAATATAGCTTTTGCAACAAATCAATAGCATATGTAATTCAAAAACCCTAAAAGAACACTAATCATCTACTCACCAAAACTCTTGCTTTTTTTTCCCTCTTATTGCTTTGAGCACAAAATTGATAAAAACTCTACTCAACGCATAAAGTCTCTTTCAAATTTAAACAATGACATATAATAAAAAAAAATGTCAAATCAATACACAATCGCATAAAGTCTCTTTCAAATTTAAACAATGACATATAATCAAAAAAAAATGTCAAATCAATACACAATCAGTAAAAAAATTATGTAAAAGCTTTATAGAAATCATAAACCCACATCTTAGATTGAATATCTAAATATAAACTCTAAGAAAATCCTAAACCAACAAACCCCATCACAAATCTTTCAAGAATAGAACGCCCAAAACAAATCAAGATCTAAGAAGAAGTAAAAAAAAAAAGATGAAAAGGAAAGCATACATTCATTGCAGGAGTGGCAACCAAAAATTCGAACCCTAGAAGAAAAAACAGCCGCCGCAAAAGACGTGGAGAAAACTCTTTCGATTCCATAAAAGGAGAAAGCTCTTTTTAGAGGTGGCGGGGGAGAATTATTTATCTGAAATTGAGGTATTTAATAATTTGTAAAAGATAGTTGTGGGTGAATATTAGTGTATAGATTAGGATGAGATTAGTATTAAATTTCTTAATTCCAATATAATCTAAATACAATTTGTTTCCTTATCTTTATACTATATATATCTACTAAGAATTTATTAATTTCCTAGGCTAATGATAGATTAGTATTAAAATTTTGATTAGTAATAGGATAGTTCAAACTTTTTAGGGGTATTTTTGTCTATCAAAAGATTTTTCCGAACTCGTGTTTTTAAAGAGAGTATGAAAAATATTTTTCCGAACTCGTGCTTTTAAAGAGAGTATGATATGATTTTGATTCAGGATCTTTTCATACTGGTCTTCGAATCTTGGTGTGTTCACATTTGATCCTAAATGATTAAATTGCTTTAAACTACTTGTTAATAGTTATATGATTCCTTAGTGAAAAAAGGTAATGAGATCGTCTATCCATTTTAAAGATATTTTATATATCAATTCTACTAAAACAACTAGATGCATTTTCTAACAAAAAAAATCTCAAAATTTATCATTTTCTCGATTATAAGAAGTCAGCTGCAAAGATATCATAAGTGGGAGGTCAATTGTGACTTGCCTTTATAAAACTAGCTTTTGGTAATACACTGATGGAGTGTTATATTATTATTATCAGTCGTATGGTATAATTGCAACGTTGAATATCATACAATTTAGTGGATACAACGTAACACAAATCTTTCAAAAAAAAAAAAAAATCCATATAGAGAGTGTTCTGATATTCATCCATTTAAAGGGCTTAAATCTCAAATTGTTATCGATTTTGTCTCCTGATGATTAGAATCTCAGCACGTCATTTAAAGGGCTTGAATCTCAAATGTTCTTGCAACAATGGAATCATAATCACCCCTCGCGCAATCAAAACATTAACATTTGCAATCACTACTTGGTACAATTAGAATATTGTATCTGTGATCACCACAACAGTACAATCAGAATATTGAAATTTGTGTTCTTCATTCCTCCCTATACGATTTTTTTATAGAAAACCTCTGTAGGATGTTCTCTTTGAACCCTTGGAACTGCAACCTGGGAAAATTCCAGCTGTATGTACAAAACAACTGATATATTGCAGGTGATCAAGATGAGAATTCAGATGTCACAAAACAACACTAAGTTAATACACTCCGACTTAACAACTATTTGCGCGTTCGCTTTCGACCCCTGGAGCTGGAAGCGGCAACCTTCTCTGAAACAGCGGTAGAACTATCCGAATGATCTTCAATTATTTCATCATCAGTGTCTTCGTGAAAGCTCTCAGTTTTATCACTTGATTCATCCTCCACTTGTGGAGCTTTACCAGCACCTTCTAATTTTGATATTCGGTCCCTGAGCTCTCTCAATTTGGCCTTTTTTGAGTTTAAGACCGCGACAAACTGACCAAGAAAACCAAATCATGAGATAGTTCAGAGCTGGCCACTCAAGGGTGATAGAAAGACACAAGTTCAATCAATTTATTCAAGTCACTATGTTCATGTAATTAAAATGACGTCGTCAAACTTTTTGTCAGATATGGAGGTATGCTTGTATACGCAACTAGATTTAGATGCTGGGAGGGACTCTCACATGCATCTGGGCTGTTGACCAAATCACGAGGAAAAAAATCTTATCTAAGTAGGGCTTTCAGATTTATACACATGAATTTTCACACACTGCTTAGCATATTTATATGGATATGGTAACGGCATTATCTTATAGAAAGTGAAATCGATGTTTCTTGCATAATCAGAAGCAGGATTATCCTATTTGTGCAGTTGGTTCATCGTATAGGGATGGGAACAGGCTATGCAACTTTTGGTGATATGGGGATGGTAACGGGTCCAAATACTTTGGGTAGTGCACAGTACAAAAAGAGTAGACTTAATGCATTGGTAATTAGGTTCGTGTTACACCTGGAGATATTATGTATAGTATCTGATGTTAAAATTACATCTATACATATACATGTAAATCCTTACAAAACAAGGAATATGATAATAGTAGCCTGACATCTTAATATCCATAAAGTCGTAGTTTGACACTCGCATTGGAAAAAACAGAAAATGACTTTACCGTAAAAAGAATGAGAAAGATTTTAATTGAATTAAGTAAACAACCCTCAAAGAACAAAATTAAAGCCAATATCACAATATGTCAAATAAGATAGCAAACACAAGAGCAAAATAAATTGAAATATATTATCAAATTGAATGGTCAATAGTCCTGTCTTCCTATACTTCTCTGTATGCTAGTTTTACTGATCGGAAACACACTAAGAATTGGCTTGCTAAATTTTAACTGATGCAAAATGGAGATTTGGGTAAATCTACATATGTATCCTCTTCCTATAGGACAATTAAAATTGCAGGAATGAGAAGAAAAATGATTTTATCTATTACTCTGCTGCTGTTATACCCACGAAGATTAGCAGTTAATAGCCACAGCAGAATGCACAGTAAATGTTTTTTGCCAAATCTGAGGCACCCTTTCATGACGGATGCCATAAAACATGATTACTAAATAGAACAGCTATTTATTGGGATTAAGTCTGAAAGTTCTCGTTTTAGGTTAAATGGGTGTGGAGAGTAATAGTTTTCGCTTCATACTTAATGGACTATGACTCCATTTTAAAGCCTGAAAGTTCTCGTTTTAGGTTAAATGGGTTGCTATAAGATGTTGCATGAGATCCGACATAGTATCATATGAACGTACTGAAGGACTGATCACCAAAATCACCAGAAAAAATTTGGAACAGTAAGAATAACTTCCATTGCCTTTGTTTAACTGATAGAATTCCTAAATAGAGCTAATAGGCAATGCGCATTGGTAATAGTTTTTCAAACGTAACCAACTTGAGGACATTATTGTTAACGTTCTTGATATTCTTAAACTTCTAGGATGGAGAAAGGTCTGAAGTACAAACTCTGCGTGTGAAAAACATAACGACCGTGAAGAATATGAACAGGATCTCACAGAATGATGAAGATATAGATTTGAGAAACATAAATAAAGAACTCATTTACGTTGCTTTTGAAGCAGAAATAAAACTCAAAGTAAAAAAGTATTCATATGTTTTGTTAAGTATAAAGATTAATCCTTGAGTCACCATTTTCACAGAGCAACTCAAGGAGAGTTGACAAGGTATATAATTTTAAGTAATCCTTGAGTCACCATTTTCACAGAGCAACTCAAGGAGAGTTGACAAGGTATGTAATTTTAAGTCGTTACAAAGAGGTCAGAATACAAGGAACATCTTCAATTCTTCAACAAATTGTAGGAGGTGGAATATATACATATATATTCAGAAAGAATCTAAACATCAAGATGGGTACTCAAGTTAATGAAATCTTACAGGAAACATCAAAATTTTCATTTCAAAGGCAAAGCACAGATGGAAAGTCAATTTACTGACAAGAACATAAAGAACAATCTTTGACAAGGCACCATATGATTGAGATCTCTGGCAAAATGTTTCCAGGGATGTGAAAGAAACCTTTAGCACAATTTCAAAAATGTCCCTAGTTAACCAAAAGCTAAAATCACTCAAAGCAAATATTAGAACTACATAGCATACCTTTGCATAGACAGCAGATTCAAATTCAGCCTTCTCATTTCTAAACTTCTCACTTTGTGATAAGCACTTTTCAGCCTCTCCTTTCAATCTCTCAAAAGATTGGGTCTTCCTAACAACCTCTTCCTGCAACATGTCATGTTTCGGTACAATGAGTAAAATAATACAAGTATCTGTTCAAAACTACAATATAAAATGTCATATCCAAAAAATTAATATCATGACAACATGGTTTTTCCATCATGATAGATGTTCTAATTAATAACAGGTTTGCTATTAATTTTAAATAATATGTGGGAATATGAAATTTTGAGATTTTGAAATTGAAACATCCTGGCTTCAAAGCAATAAGCACCTCCGGCTCTAGGCTTTTTATTTTTTGGCCACCTCACAATAATAAAGAGAACATCTCAATCCAGGCACCTCTGGAAAGATATTTCAGCTAGATTACATAATATATTGGGGAAAAAAAGAAGTTCATGGAAGAGGATACTAATGAAGAAAATATTGTTGAAAAAAACCTGTTATAAACTGTTTTATAACTTAACAGCACCTTCTTATTAGGCAACACACCGATTTAATGCTGAAACTATTTAACACAAAAAAAAAACATGTTATACTACTGTTACAAGATTACTACGTTACACGTACGTTACATTATATAACCACTTAACATGGGGTTTTTAGGTTAAAGTGCCTCTCTTATTAGGATGCGTGGATGCATCTCCATTCTCCACTGTCCAAATAATTTAAAACCTACCCCGTTGGTCCAATCACCCTATTCTATTCCTGTGAATATGCGTTCTCTTCGCGTCCTTCAACTCAAACCCTAGCTCCTCGCCTCCTCCGAAACTCCTCTGGCTATCGGTGACTTCAGCGACTCTGGTGAGATAATTTTTTTATTTTTCAGTTATGTATTGGACATCTCAATTTATATCCTTTAAATAAACAGTGATTTTAAAATTACCTTCCAAATTTCAATTTTGTATATTGTCAATTTACCCTAAATCATATCAAGCTTGTTGCTCCATTGCTTTGCCCTTCAACATACTTTTTTAAGATGTGTCACAGAATTAAGAGTACAGAGATTAATTTGTGGGTTAATTGTGTTGGTAAGATAATTACTTTCGGTTATTACTTGACTTTAATTAGGTTTTAGTTTTTAGTTTTTAGTTAATACTAGATTTCGTGAAATTAAGTTTGCATGCAATCGCTGCATATGCAAAAAAAAATTACTATTGTTACATAATCATGTTTAGTTTGGTTGATGTTGTGAACTCAATTAGAATTAGAATATTTTTGTGAAGTTAAGAACTCGAGAGTTGGAAGTATTTGATTTATTTTAAACTTAATTATTGCCTTAAACTTGAAGATGTTAATGTATTTGATCATTTGATTATGCTTTCTAGAATGGTTGTCAGTCATATATGACTAACTTTTGTTAAGAAATTGTGATACTATATTTTTATATTTGATAATTGTGATATTATGTCTAAAAAGTTTGAAAAGTATTAAAGTATTATGAATTATTAATATTTATAAAATATCTAAAAAATGAATAAACAATATAACCTACGTTATGTGTTGCGTTTTTTTGTGTTTTTCCCCTTAACCCTTAAGGGGAGGTTAAGCGTTACATAACTCATTTTTGTTAAACACTCAAGAAATGTTTGTGTGCCTATTTAATATTACTTTAAAATAATATGAGACCGTGCTAGCGCCATAATTTAAGAAGCAACATCAAATAATGAAGTCAAAGTTCGTGTGTTTTTGAAGAATATCAGGAATGCAAATTTAGAAGGATAACTATGGGAGAAGGCATATGTAGGACACATGACAAATTAACAATGGTTATAGTAATAAAAACAATAGTAAAAATAAACCAAGTAAAACCTTCAAGATCCTTATGGTCAATTTCAAGCAGATGTAGCTCAATGCATCCCTAAGACACATGTGGCCTTATATAGAAAATGTCTCATATATTACTCTTCCTACAGAAGTGACTTGTAAGATCTTATGCTACTCTATGTATTCTACTGCATGCCTCATGGTACGAAAGATAAACGTGCCCTATAGAATGAGGATAACTTGTTTAAACATTGAAAAATTGAATTCATTTAAGTATTATTAATGAGGTGGTTTAAAATTGCCATCAGTAATTATATCTATAAGCCAAAATAAAGGTGAAGCCATATGTACACCTGAAAACATTGCTGTACTAAGCAAGAAAAATCATACGCTTGAACACTTTTAGCCAGAGTTTGTGAATATTGCTGATTGAGTAAGATTATGGACCAGGTAAGACCAAAAAGAAGCTGAAGCCTTAATCAGGCAGTATGAACTCCACATCAGAAAAAAGACCTTGGTACTGAAAGGGAAGTCATGCTTGGACTATCATATTTATTATGAGAAATTTTGGATCCAGTCATCATACGATAATTGGTATATCCAATGTGCTGATCATGCATGACAACCAACACTGAAACCTTGCTATACATGCCAAGCATATAACTGATTCTAGTTAATTGCACAACTGTTTCAAATTGAAGCTCGTCAAAAAACAAAATGTTATCATTCAGTGATGCCTCTAAAGACTAAAAACCAATTGGAACACTAGGAGATTGAAACGTCTTAAAGTGTTTCTAGTTTGATATTGATTTGATCTACAGTAAGTATGTACAGGAGGCACTGTACATCACATGTAGCCCCAGGCAAGTAACACCTTCATGTGGTAGCTTGTTAGTTCTCAATGAGTAGGATGAAGGCTATCGGAACAATTTAAGTAAATTAGGAATTGTACGAATGCATCCCTACTCCAAGTTAAGTAAAAATTAACTCTGAACCGCTTCAGTGCTTTAGTTTGATGTCAATCTGAATCTACAGTAAAGTACCCAGAAGGTGCAACAGATCTTGTTTACTCTCTTACAAGTACTACCTTTTAAGCGGTAGTTAGAGAACTCAGTGAGAATCAGTGAGCGGGATAGAAGGCTATTCAAACAACTTAAGTAAATCGGGGACAGTGTTAAACACATCCCTGCACCAACTTTATAGAATAGTAAGTATTTAAACCATTATTCAAGAAATATTAAGGGACAAAAAACAACATTTGACATAAGCAAGAACTATAGTGCCATAATGGTTTCACCAATAGCAGCCAAGCGTCTATGAGAGAAGAAAATTATACCGTGCAGAAGCGAAACAAAGGTTATTGTTTGTAGTAGGATGAAATGATGAATACAATGCGGTTTTAATTAAATTGAAGAAAAACTGGTATCTAATTGTATGTGGCTCTTTCCAAGTGTGTATGAGAGATGAAGAAAATTTTCCATAACAAATACTCAACCAGATTATGTCCTCAACTAGAGGAAGTTAGAGGATTGTTCCTTGGTTGAATGAGATTAAAGAGCTAATTACCTTCCTCCAACTAGCCTTACAGGGCACTATACACCTGATATTTGAGTGGAACAGTAACCCAGCACCAACTCATAACATCTTATTTCAAAAGTATTGAATTACGATTATGAGGGAGGTGGTGTTGCTAGCCAATAAGTAAACAAATGAATATTTTATCATCTAGAACAGGAGATTTCAGCCACTACAATTAGTCCTACAGAGATAAGCAAGTACAACAGTGAAGACAGTGAGACCTTCAGAGACAAAAAAATAAAGTTTAAGTCATAGCTGCAGTATTGTAACTAAAAAGACAGTTAAAGTAAATGGACTTACACTAAGACGTATATTTGCATCCATTAGAAAATCCAGAATTTCTGCTGTAGTTTGTTTGCTGTCAGATGATGGTTGGCATTTCCAACGCCATTCTAATTTAGTACCTTCCTTCTCAAATGTCCATAACAACTTGAAGAAGCACAAGAACCACAGAAGTTATGAAAGAAACTTCAGCATTCTGTATATATGTAATAATACAAGAAATCAATGATGCATATCTTACTCTACAATAGGCAGAAGTCAATCATAACAATCTCAAGACTTTTATTTTAGATAGTATTATATATTTTATATACATGTTTCAGGCAAGCACTTTAATACACAGATATATTATACGCATGCATATACATGCATAATAGTGGGGCTGCATTGTTTTCAGGTGTTGGGCATCTTCAGATGTGATAACACGAACATTTGGTATAAAGAAAAACCCTTTCAAGAAGAGGACAGATGCACAGTTAGTCAACAGTATACATAAAAGGTATTCCGGAAATTAAGAAAAAGAATGACATGAGTTCCTTGCCCATTCATAAGTTTTCAGTCTTTTCTATTGTAGCACATGATTCATCCTTAAATCCAAAGGGTTGCATAAGACATGCCAACTGGGCCATTCTGTCAGATAGTTTTATATGTTCACATACACCCAAAATACAAAATCTACTTAGCTTTAAGCCCGAAGTATAGAACATAAAGTATATAGCTACATATAATAGGGTGTACGGCTACATGTTGTAGAGTGTATGGCTACATATTGTAGCGTGTATAGCTACATACCCTGTTGTATGTAGTGATACACTTTGTAACCTGTACTGTGCTTGCATCGATAAGTAAACTTTGCATTTTTGTTGTACGAGAACACGTAGGTTTTAAAGTAAATCCGAGTACAGCTTTGGGGTTATAAGGGGAAAAAAGAAGAAATTTTCAAAATAAACCTATTCCCAATTTTATCCCCAAATTTCAACCCACTTTAAACTTTATTACAAAAATCGACCTACTTTCTCGTCACGTTAACATCGTAACCAAAAAGAAGCTGAGTTGATTTTTTTTAATTACGTTCCTAATTAGTCGGGATTGCTAACCCTGACTAATTAGGAGCTCGCCCGCTACCCTACTGCAGTTTGGCAGCTAAATTAGTCGGGGTTTCAAAATTAGTCGGGGTTCGAAACCCTAACTAATTTAGCCGTCTCATAAATGGTCGGGGTTGGGAACCCTGACCATTTTGAAATACCCCGCCATTTCGAAATGCCTACTTCGAAATGGTCGGGGTTCTCAACCCCGATCATTTAGCAGAGAGTGCCCAACTGCAAGTTAAAGAAGTGGGAAATTGGCTAAGGGACACAATAGTCGGGGTTGTCAACCCCAACTACTTGTTCTGGGTCTCGCCCCCTATATAAACCAACTGAAACCTTTCTCCCCCAAACCCATCTCTCCCAGCCGCCTCTCTCTTCTCCAACTCCGTCGCTCGCTCGTTTTGCTGCCACTCATCTCAATTTCAAACTCATTTTGCAGCCGAAATTCGTCGTGAAAGTTTGTTTAAGATCTCTAGGGTAATTTCTCTTCCTTCTCTCTTTTAACATGTAAAAATCCAGGGTTTCTCTCAAAAACGAATTTCTAGTGTTTGAACTTCATTTGTGGTGGTTCGAATGCTTTGTGTTGATTGTTGTAATTGAAATTAAACTTTTAGGGCATAGAATGCTCAATTCTAAGGTTTTGAATTTTTAATTTGAGGTTTAGGGTTTCTGGTCAAACTTATATGAGATTATTTGCATCTTGGGTTTTCCTCTCTTATTCGATGTCTTGATAATATTTTTTAAATTTTTTGCATTTAAATGATATAATCTTCTTTTGCATAGATTGAACAATATGATTTTTATTGTTTGCTCTTATGATGAAAAAATTAATTATGAAATGAATAATATGTCAATGTACGTCGGAGGGGGAAAGACGTCATTAATGATCTCAGAATCATATAGTTATTGTGACCTGGTTAAGGAATTACACCGAGTTACGAAAATTGACCCACAAGAATACCGACTAAAAATAATATGCAATTGACCCATAACTTTTGATAGAACGTCCGCAATTGAGATTTCAAACAATCATCATATGAGTATTATGTTTAATTTGAGCAAGTCGCATCCAACGGTAGAATTGTTTATTAAAAAGTTGTCATATAGTTCGTGTCAAATATTCAAACCTCCAGGAGAATTCTCATGCATGTTAGATATGGGAGTTGAGTCTGATGGTTTTCTTTTTTCTTCAAGTGAAATGGAGCGGACTCAATTTCAATATCACAGTGATGCACCTTCATTCGGTGGAACGTCAAATGTCATGAACAATGAAGTTCCATATGAAAAAATGAGATCGTTAAGAGGGGCAACAATTGAGGATGAAAGAATCACCGACTCTGAAGGTGAAGAGCAAGATAGTGCACCAATTGATAACATGCAATTTGTGAGTGAAGATGTTAAAGAGAATCTGGATTGGCCTGATGAGGCTTATGTTAATAATAAATATGTTGAGTACGAAGAACCACCCCCGACGAGTTTGAAGATAAGTGGATTCGTTCTTCCACAGTACAAGATATGTGCAATGGCCAAAGTTTAACTCATAACATTGTTTTAAATATCGGCTGACATGTCCGCATTGGCCAAAATTCAACTCATAGCAGTGTTTTAAATATTAGCCGACATGTCGGACATGTCGGCCGACATATTGGATTAAGGGCTCGAGCGACACGAGTCAGGCATTTTTAAGTCGTATGTCGGTTTTCAGGAGAAAGTCGGATATGTCGGGGCCACATCGGGCATATCGGCCGATTTTTCATCTTTGAAAAATCGGCAGATATGCCTATTTTTCAATTTAAAGCTATTTTTTCTTATTGGGTTTGGGTTTAGTGATGAAAACCCAAACCCATTTGACCCGTTATGATGTTAAGGGTCTCTTTACGAGCCAAATAGAAAGAAACGAACCCGAATTAAAAAAAAACAAAAAAAAACCTAAGGCTACCGCAATTGGGAACCATCAGCCGTCTTCATCTTCTTCGTCTTGCTTTTGTTCTCCTCACATCGTCGGCGCTGCCTCCCTGCGACATCCCTATCTCCGGCTTCACCTTCTCCTCTCTCTCTTCCCTGCGTCATCGGAAGCCGAAGTTCCTCAGCTTCAGCCGTCAGGTATGTAAGTCCCTAACTTTTCTTCATCTCATTCTCTCTCTCTGAGTGTCTCTCTTTCACTAGTGACTGGTTTTTTTCCTATTTGCAGTTTCAAACTTTCAGTTTGTGCTGACTGCTGAGTAAAAGGAATTGTTTCTCAAAATCAGGCAAGCCTCCCTCTTGAATCTTTTCCCTTGTCAAATAAAATAAATTTTAAGTTAGTAATTGAATTATAAAATTGAAATGTAACAAATTCAAATGTTAATGCATAGGAGATAGTGAGATACTTAACAATTGACACTCCTTAATGTCAGCTTCCTCTCTTGAATTCGTACCAAGTTGTTGCTGAAATTAAATTGAAATTAGAAACTCCCAAGCAATTGAGAAATGAAATTATCACCCCTCGTACACTTTCTAAGCAATTGATTACTTTTTAGTGTAAATTGATTTAAATATGTAAATATAATTGGTTGTCTAAACCCATATTTGTTGTCTTGTTAATTATTGTAGAATCATATCGTCCGAAGGACAAGGATCTACTAGACCGTCAACAACACAAAAAATGGGCGGTAAAGATCCATGTGGCTATATGGGGAGAGTGTTGGTTCCGATACAAACAAATTAAATGCAAATATTACACTCAAATTCTCAATGGCGAGATTAGCAGATTCAAACACCACCTAGCCGAAAAGAGGGAAAATTGCGCGCTGTGTGAAAGTTCCTGATGATGTTAAGGCAAAAGTTTTCGAAATTATAGATAATGCAAAGAAGAGTAAGGATGAGAAGGAGATGAAAATGCATAACTTGTTGAGTGAGGTGCATATCGGGGAGGATAAGGAGGAGCATAACTCAAATCTCATTGAGTAGTCAAAGAAGCTCATCATCCTCCCACAAGGTAACTGGACCAATGGACTCCTTCGCCGCTCGTTCTCCCGAGGAGATTCCCCAAATAGTAGCAAAGGGGAAACAACTAATGGTGGACTCCAAGCTTAAAAAGAAAAAAAATAGAGGATGTATTGCGATACATCTCCAAATGGTTCTATGAAGCCGACATTACATTTCATACAGTCACGCTTCCCTCTTTCCATCAAATGCTACAAGCTATTGACTTGTTTGGAAGTCATTTACAAGCTCCATCGATGTATGAACTAAGTGAGACATATTTGCAAAAAGAAGTGGATGTGACAAAAGAATTTGTTGAAAACCTTACAAGGACTTGTGTTGCCAATAGTTGCTCGTTAATGACTGATGCATGGAGTAATCGGAAGTCTAGAAGCATCATGAACATAGTTGTACATTCTGCTGGGAGAGCTTATTTTTTGTCTTCACATGATGCATCGGCCGATAAGCACGATGCTCAGTATATCTGTAACTTTGTAGACAATGCTATTGATCAGATAGGGGAGGCAAATGTGGTGTAAATAGTCATTGATGCAGCTTCAAACAATATGACGGCTTCTAAGTTGTTGGTCGAGAAGAGACCAAATATATTTTGGACGACTTGTGCTACACACACAAGGAACTTGATGTTGTCCGATATAGCTAAGATAAAACCCATTCGTAATGATATTTTAATGTGGAGTGTATCAGTGTTCTTATATAATCACACCAAGCCTCTTCAATTATTTAGAAAGTTCACTAAGGATGATCTTGTGAGACCGGGGGTTACGAGGTTTGCTATGACGTTCATTTCTTTACAGTTATTAAGAGATCATAAGAAAGAGATGAGACAAATATTTATCTCTGACCAATGGACAGATTGTAGTCTTTCAAGAACATTGGTTGGCAAAAAAATATATTTTAATTGTATTCATTTTATTCATTGATCATTTATATTTCATTGATTGGATTTTTTTTGTATGTTTGTAGGTTGCAGAGATAATTGCTATCAACAAGTTTTGGGATAGTATAGATTTTGCCCTTAAAGTATTCAGTCCTCTAGTGAAGGTTCTTCGAAGAGCGGATGGTGATAAAATC